CCCCCCCCCCAACCATCCCTTCTTGTAATGTGTCAGCAAGATGAGAGACGTAAGCTGACAAATTCTCGCAGATTGATCAATGTGCTCAAGGCAGCGAACCAGCCCGTGCCAGAAGAGCTGATGAAGTTTGGCACGACAGTCAAGAAGAAGGAACACGGGGCGTATGGAGCCTTCTACAAGGATACGGAGAACGCCAAGGCCGCGACGAAGATTACTTTTGACTAGAAGCATTCGTTTTCAGTACCGCAAACGCTATGTATGTGTGTGTGTGTATATCAAAGTTTAGTATGGTTGACAAGTTGGTCGGCGAAGTGTTCTGAAAAGCGGTCGGTCATGGACTTTTTACATGGTACATAGATACTAGAGCATTGATCTAGCGTAGGCGTCTCGGACCAAGAGAAGTTAAAATTCCCCGATGGGTGTCCGCATGTAGTAGATGGTGGAGATGTAATCTATTTTTTACTCTCTTTCGTCTTAACTTGCATACTTACTAACTCGTCTTAATGGTTTCCACAATTTCCATCCTTGTGCATCTGAACTACAGTTACAAGAAATCATCAGGCATTACCATGTATCTATACATCCATACACTATCCCGTCCGTCTCTTCTCCATCTTCCATGAGTTAAAAAGACCCGGTGGCGAGAAGAAGAAGAAAAAAAAAAAGAGACTAGGTCCAACTTAAACGCCTCACCCGTAGACTTAAAAAAAAACCCCTGTAGTCGGCGACGGAGCGGACGACAGGGGGAAAAGAATACGAGAACCAGAGTCTAGAAAGAAGAAGGAAGAGGAAGAAAGAGAGGTGGGAAAGAGAGAAAGAGAGAGAGGGGGGGATAAGGAGTGGGTATGTGCGTTTCAAAAGGGCAACATCGCCGAGTTTTGTTAGTAGTCGGCGACCAAAAAAATGGTCGGAGGGGGGGGAAAAGGCGCATGCGGGGCCCAATCACCGGGGGGGCGCGCCCAAGAACCAAAGTTGCGGTCTTGGGGAGGGGGGCGTTTCCCGGGTGTGGAGGATAAGCCCAGAAGATGGTCGGCGAAGAGGCATGGGTTGGGATTATGTGGGTACGCGTTTATGTGTGATTTCCTGGTTTATATATAAAGAGGTGAGAACCAAGGTGTATATGGAGGAGAGTTGGTGGTCTTTAATCTGAAGATCTTTCTGTCTTTTTTTTTAATACCTTGTATAGCGAGATTTTGATCGTCGGGTTATCTACGTACCTATATACTCCTACGACAATACACAAAAAGGTGGATTGAATACCTACAACAAAGATAATCATCATGTGCAAAAAGGCTTCATGCGACTCATGCCGTACGTCTTTTCCGTTTGCTCCGCCCCATCTCCCCGACAGATAGATGTGCCTTGACATGTCATTCTACCAAGGCATTGCTGACAGTTTGTAGACAAGGTCACGTGGTGGGGCTGTGGAAAGCACATTGCTGGTGTCATGGAGAGCGTCCCGTCGGAGCAGTGGTGCACATGCGTACCACGGATCGAACAAGAGGGACAGCAATACCCACCCAAGGGCTCTTTGTCATCAGCATGACTCCCGGCGTGGTTGAGCGGGCGTAAGAATTGATGGCAGGACAAGTGGTACTACTCATCAATTTCGGCCTGCTCGGCCCAAGAACAAGACTCACGGAGGAATATTGTACCTGGTACGGCGTATGTAGGAGTAAAGGTGTGGGAAAGGGCGTTTTCTTGGCTTCTACGGCATGATGCGGATGTAGTAAATTTTTTCTACTATGAGAAGGGCTTAGCGACTTGCAATATTACAACATTACCGTTACCCGTTTCTACGAATGGTTATTTGAACCAATTGATGCCTTAGATACCAGTCAGCATCTGTGAAGGCACATGTGCGTATGTACTTTGATACAAAACACTGTAGATCCGTTGGGCGCATTCAAGCCCAGCCAGGTGAGCCGGCAATAGCAGTAACCATATTGGACGGCGAGATGTCGGTTTGTGGCGTTTGTATGGTTCTGACGGGACCTTGCAGTCATGCTTACGTAGCCGCGCCAAATACATGGAACAGGGTGGTACGGCATGTGGGCTTGGTGCTCGCGGGTTGCAAAGAAGAATGGGCGGGGGGTTGCACCGACGCTCCCGCTCGGGTCGATTACCGTTTGAAACGGCTTCTGGAAAAGGCTGCGGAGCTTCGACTTGAAACAAGCATCATGTTTGTGTACGACCGAAGAAGGGCGGCGCGATATTATTCTCCTTGTGCTGTCGGAGGTGTAGAAGAGGGACTGCAGACGCGTGGCGGGTGTAGGGCTAGTGACAAGACGATGGACAGAAGGCTGCAACCCAGGGTGCCGGGAAGACAAGAGTCATTGTGTTTGTGATGGGGAGGTGGAGGGCGGAGGAGCCAATGGGTCCGGGAGAAGGGGAAGCCGCATGGTGAGGCTGGTCTCATAATGGGTCTGCTAAGTATAGGCGTTGCAGGAGTGGGTGGGAGTAGGGCGCGCAAATGAGCAGTTTCAGGTATTGGCCGTAGTGGCCTAGAAATGATAGGCGGAAGTGTCTGGCCGGCCTGGCGAAACAGAGGAAGAGGGGTTACGAGAGCGAGTCGCGCAACTCACACAGTGGCTGGATCATAGGGCGGCTAGCCAAAGTCTGTTGCTGGGGCGGCAGAGTATATTTTGGACTGTATCGCCGGTCTCATGTGGTCTGCTGTAGCACGTTGGTGTTGAGTTTGTCCCTAGTTGTGGTCCTGCAATAGATGGTGCCTGGGCGACCCCGCCTTCCCATCTTAGACAGCAGTGGGAGTGCGAGTAGGTAGTAGTAGGGGGGATGAGTAGGAGTAGCACCACCACCACCACCACCACCACCACCACCACCACACGCGCCATTGCACCATTTCTGTTGATGACGCCGTGATATCACCGTCGCCCCGCCGTGCGCCACCAGCCACCTCTGCCTCGGTGGTAATGGTAGTAGTAGTGTAGTAGTGCAGTGTAATGTAGTGTAGTCGACAGCCACGGTCGCTCCCTTTGTGCCGCTTCCCGCGTGGGCGTGTGATAGTAGAGCATGGAGCTGGGGGAGGGATTGACTTGGCAGGCCATAGCTACTACACTACTTACACACGCTGCCCCACCATCTCTCTCCCCTTTCTGTCACCGCCTCACTCGCCTCCATCTTGCGCGGGCAGTCCCAGCCAGTGCCAGAACGAAGCAGCACAGCACCGCTCCTCCACGGGCGCACCACACAGCTCCAACCCTGGGCCGTCCCGCCAGTGTCTGGTAAGTCATCCATGTCCTCTCGTCGTCCAGAGGGGCCGACGCCGCCATTGTGCAGTGGCGCCCAAGATAGCCGCCGCCGACGCCGTGCACACAGTCAATTGCTGCTGCTACTGCTCCTGCTATTGCTGGTGCTGATGCCATCGCCTCCGCCTCCGCCTCCGCCGCCGCTTCTGCTCTGGCTGCTCGTGCCGCGCAGACAAGCACGTGGGGCTGAACTCTGTGTCTGACACAGACTCGTTTCACCATGAGCGCCCAAAGCACACCCTCCGTCTTGCGAACAATGCCTGTTTGATGACATGTACAGCCTGTGCTGACCTACAACCCTCTGCAGCTGTCTCTTCCATCCTCTACATTGTCGCTCACCTCCCTCGTCCTCTTCAACCACCCCTCCGCACCAACGCAACCGTAGCCCCAGCCCCGCAACCACCACCACCACCATCACCATCTGAGCCTCCACTCGCCTGCTCCTACCCACCGCGCCCTCGCGCATCCCATCCACCACAACCGCCACCATGCCACCAGCAGGAAGCGGCAGCTCCAGGAAAATCTCCTTCAACGTCTCGGAGCAGTACGACATCCAAGATGTCGTAGGAGAGGGCGCATACGGTGTCGTATGGTACGTCTCGCCCGCCAATGGCCCGCTTTCAGCCCCCTAATAACACTCACAGCTCCGCCTTGCACAAGCCCTCGGGCCAGAAGGTTGCCATTAAGAAGATCACACCCTTTGATCACTCCATGTTCTGCTTGAGAACACTGCGAGAGATGAAGCTGCTGCGCTACTTCAACCACGAAAACATCATCTCCATCCTGGACATCCAAAAGCCCCGCAACTACGAGACCTTCACCGAGGTCTACCTAATTCAGGTGCGCAGATTTCTTTGCTTGCATACCCTATTTTTTTCTAACCTGCTGTTTAGGAACTCATGGAGACGGACATGCACCGCGTTATCCGCACACAGGAGCTGTCCGACGACCACTGCCAGTACTTCATCTACCAGACCCTACGCGCCCTCAAGGCCATGCACTCGGCAAATGTCCTCCACCGCGATCTCAAGCCCTCCAACTTGCTGCTCAACGCAAACTGCGATCTCAAAGTCTGTGATTTTGGTCTCGCCCGATCCGCCGCTTCGACCGAGGACAACTCGGGTTTCATGACCGAATACGTTGCCACTCGTTGGTACCGTGCGCCAGAGATTATGCTTACCTTCAAGGAGTACACAAAAGCAATCGACGTATGGAGTGTGGGATGTATCCTCGCTGAGATGCTCAGCGGAAAGCCTCTTTTCCCAGGAAAGGACTGTAAGTCGCGCGCAGTGCCTCCAAATCAGCTCCCAAGAAACTAACCTTTGCCAGACCACCACCAGCTCACATTGATCCTCGACGTACTGGGTACGCCCACCATGGAGGATTACTACGGTATCAAGTCCCGCCGAGCTCGCGAATACATCCGATCTCTGCCCTTCAAGAAGAAGATCCCCTGGAAGGCCATGTTCCCCAAGACGAATGATTTGGCTCTTGACCTGCTCGAGCGATTACTGGCTTTCAACCCAGTCAAGCGCATCTCAGTCGAGGACGCGCTCAAGCACCCATACCTTGAGCCCTACCACGACCCAGATGACGAGCCAGGCGCGGACCCCATCCCAGAGGAGTTCTTCGACTTTGACAAGAACAAGGACAACCTGACCAAGGAACAGTTGAAGCGTGAGTGCAGACGAGTTTCTACACGCCGAGTATGAGCTAACAGCACGCAGTCCTCATCTACCAGGAGATTATGCGATAAACACCTTCACGTCTTTGGCCCTTGCGCGGGATTAATACAAGATACCACGATCGAGTCCATTTTCGCAACTTGTCTGCAGCCAGCTAGTCTGAGCGCATTAGCATGTGAGAAGTGGCATACCATGTTCCTGTCATTTGGATTCGCAGCAGAAGAAACACATTAGCATGACAGCGCAGAGGTGCGCGGATATGAGCTTGAGCTTCGAATATTTTCTATGAGCAATTTCTGTCGTCACAGTGTGAGATGACAATAAGCACAAATGCATGCTTCTTTGCAAATTGCCTGGCTATTCTTGGTGCCCCCCGTTCACGATGCACGAGATGGTCTAACACAAAACTTGCATATTGGCGTATCGCTGTAGCCTATAAACACCGCCCAATGCCTTTGTCCTTGATGCTAACTATACAAGAGTGGTGGCGTCGTCGTCGTCGTTTTGCAAACACAAATGATGCCCACTATCATATACACATAATCGTACACGTCGTACATGGCCGAGGTAGCTTCCTGTTTTGACCTAGAAATCGCACCTGCCATCCTTCCACCCAGTCCGCCATCTTTCTTCCCACCTCTTGCAGTCAAATGTCTCCTTGCCCAACTTCTCATTGACTGCATTGTGCGCTTCACACATCCACTCGCCGAACTCGCTGCGATTGCTGACCCTCGGCGTGTTCTTCTGCATCCACTTTTGAAAATCTTCTGCGCACACCCAGCACGGATATAATTTGCCAAACGTGGAGAGGAATGACTTGGTTTCTGACTGAAGTTGAGGAGACGGGTTGGTTGGGTATGTGGCGGTTATGGAATGGAGGAGTGTCCACGATGAGCGACCGAGGGCTTCCACGTCCGGCGGGCAGTCAGCGGGCATTGTGGGGGTAGTTTTGGCAGTCGCGGTGGATTGCGTGCGCTTCGTAGGCATTTTGCCCGACATTGCGAATAGAGAGGCTACATCGTTGCAGGTGCGACATCTACAGCGTAGGCAAACCAGTCGTCAGCATCCACTTCTTCTCACATACACACGCGACAAAGGGCTATGGCGATTGCAAGGCTTGTATATTGCCTGGCGCAATTGCTCGCGGGTACATACGTAGGTACAGAAAGGAAGAGAGAAAGAAGCTACTCACGGCTTGCCGTCTGGACCGAGTATGATGCCATTCGCCAGTTTCTTGTAACCAGGCCTTCCCTCTATATCCTTCGCCTCGCTCGTATCCAGCTTATCCTGCGCCATTGTCTCTCACTCTCTTCCCCAAGTATGATTTTCTTGCGTTGAAGCACAGCACAAATGTGGCATCGTTTAGGTCGGACGATTTCTAAGCCCTTCCACCATTGTCGGAGCCTCGGAGTTAAGAGAGCGTCATGGCGGCAGCAAGGCTGATCCTTGCTTTCTTGGTTTCGCTTCCACTTCCGCTTTCCAGGGACGTGATGTGATGCAACTTCTTGGGAACTCAACTTGCTCATGCGTTGATTGGTAGAAACGTACATGTAGTACAACACTTGTTGCTAGTCTTCTAACTGCCCACGCGCTTCGTTGTCTTCTGCCCATTAACAATGGACGTCCCGGTGGCTGCCAATGTACTGGGGACCATGGGAGCGGTACGTGAACTATCCTCATAGAAGGACCAATATACTAACTAGTGTAGGTCTGTTGGTCTATTCAGGTGTGTATAGTATATAGTTACATCTCTTCTTCCCCATCCCATGCCCAATGATAATGCTGAGTATCTCACAGTTGATACCTCAAATTGTCGTAAACTACAGACGACACAATGCAACCGGATTGCAACCTACGATGATGATGTTGTGGGCTTGGGCAGGTGTCCCCTTGGGCGTTTATAATATTGCTGAAGACTACAACATTGCTTTGCGCATCCAGCCGCAGATTCTCACTGTGCTGAGTCTTGTCACGTGGATCCAGTGCTATTATTACGAGAAGGTGACTCGAGGAGATTACTATATTGAAATGCATGAGGAAAACTGACATCGTGCAGAACTGGTCTGTCTTGCGTTCACTTGCGGTAGTCGTCCCCATAGCCAGTCTTATGGGTGGAGTGCAAACTGGCCTCATCTTCGCAATACGACGTGCTCAGCATCAGGGCCTGCACTGGCCTAGTATCCTCATGGCAGTTGCTTCGGCTGCTTTGCTTGCAGCTGGCGTTATGCGGCACTATATTGACATCTACCTCTTTCGGACTGTTCGAGGAATCTCGTTCATCTTTGTAGCCATCGACGCCCTAGGCGATGTCTTCTCATTGGTGTCCGTCTTGTTTCAGCCTACCCTCGACGTTCTAGGGATTGTGATTTATGGCACCGAATTGGCCCTCTGGATTGGCATCTTTGCTTGTGGAGCTTATTACAATCTCTCACCTTGGATCGTCTCACAGACAAACGGCCGGAAAAGAAGTCATGCGGCATGCAATGAAAGCGTTGGTCCTGCCGCAGATATAAACACAGGTGAAGAAGGAGCAGCAGTCGCATCTGGGATCGCGCTCCATAACCTACCTTCTAGCACTTCAGTCTTCAGGACGCCGTCGGGCAATATCGACGTCATGTCACGGTGAAGGAGGATTTCATCGCACGAGACACAAACGGGCCACATGCCGCGCAAGATTTCATGGGATATGTGGACTGCAGGTCCTTGGAATTGCCCGTTTGTTTGTTTGTCAAGCGTTTGGTAGTGGTTGCAAGCTGGCTCCTGGCTCCTTCCCAGATAGACGCTCTCACCTCTCCCCACTCTCCTCACCCATACACTGCGCTCCCATTGCTCGGACCGACCACTACAGGCACATTTGTCCGCGTTGCAGTCTCAGCGCAAAGGCCCATCGCGTCACCAAAACTTCAAAACACATCATTTGAATGTAGGTAACCGCTCGTTGCTGCTCCTTTTGCTCCACCTGCCTTGACTTCTGTCCGACCAACCACAGCGCGAGTATTTCTCCGCCATACTCACAAGAAGCAGCAACACATCAGATATCGCTACTAAGACTTCACCAATGATTTCCATCATGATGGCCAAAGCCATGTCGCTGGATTGCCAATCGGATGCTCCGTCGGCGCCCAATCCCACTCCAGTCACCGAGCCTGACGGCACTCCGTTTGCCAATGAGCCAGTCGATCCTCCACCAGAGATAGACTACGCCGCCGTTGCTAATATTCTTGCTCCTATTCAGGAGTCGCTCAACGAAGCCGCCGAGGAGGCCGGTTATCCTTCCCCTCCCATCAACACACCCGTGGTCGGTTCCCCGGAGCCCTCCATCGTCTACCGCAACCCTACGACTCGCGGTCGTGGTATTAGCGCTATCGGTGATAGACTGGCTAAGTTCAAACTCGATAACCGCAAGCTGCGTCAGCATGAAGGAGATGCGGGATCAGTCAACTATTCTCCTAAGCCTTCGGTCGCCGAAGATGACGAGGCCGACATGGCCAGCATTTCCGAGGTAGTGAGCGATAGCGGCAAGAACAGACACGCTCGTAGGTCTCTTGCTCCGATCAGTGTGACCGAGGGCACAGTGCCTATCGCCCTGGGCTCTCCTGCCGCCAACCCACGTATCGCTGAGTACTTGAGCTTCACCTCGGATGACTTGCCCACTAGCTCGGTTGCCCCTTGCTTTCCCTCTACCCCGATGGAAATGGGCACAGCTTGTATCGAGCCGGCGGTTCATGGTGGCAGCGACAGCTTGAGGAGCGAAGGCGTCACGGAAAAGAGCAACTGGGCTGAGGAGCTCGAGGACACCGCCAACCGCGCTTTCTTGCGCCTTGAGCAGCTAGCAGCTGACGAGGTCAAGATGGACGCTAGCAAGACCTTTGAGGAGTACTACATTGCTCGGCTTGAGCGCCTACTTGGTAACGACAAGCGAGCAGTTCCTGTCCTTGTTCTGAAGGCCGACAAGGCTAGCAAGGTCAAAAAAGCCGATAAGTAGGCATGGCCTTGTCTAGAGCATTTCCATCTTGTTTCTTCACATGAATGGGGCTCCTGGCAGGGAGATTGATGATGGGTTATGATTCATGGCATGGGAACTGGGTTTTTTTTTGTATGAATGTGGTGCATTCGGATCATCATGGTGGGTGGCATCAGGGCAGTGTTCTATATCCCATTACACGGGTTGCTTTTTACGATTTCACACGGATTATCTGTACAACACGGTGCCTTGGTAGCAGACCTGGCCCAGAAGTAATAATGCTTGCGTTCTCTCAAACTTTGGCTCGAGTACAATATCGTGCGTGCAAATGTGACCCTGATAGCGATGGGGCCTGCTAGTCAGCACAAGACAGTCTAAAAAGAGCGATGGTACCACCCGTTCCTCACGCCAAGACCCTGCAGGATAGCCACTGTAGCCAGCGTGACGGCGGTTGGCTTATCGTTTGATTTCCAATAAGCCGCACCAGCGGCAGCCAAGAGTCCTGTCAAGACGGCAGCAATGCTCTTGTCATATATGTCGTACACTCCAACCTGAGACCACTTGTAATTGAGGATGCCTTGAGAGAAAAAAAAACAAAGTTAGCATTATTATTAGTAAGTAGGTTGATTTTCCATTCTCTTTTTCATCGGTACAGTTTTGATATTATCTAAAAAAAAGAGAGAAAAGAAGGTAGAAGAAGAAGAAGAAGAAGAAGAAAAAAAAAGAAAAAAAGACTTACTCATGATAACAAAGAAGCCACTGCCTTCGTACCAGCCAATCTTGGAGGCGCCACGAAGCACAAGCGGAAGCGTGTTCATGGTTGGATGTTTGAATTGATCGAGGCCTTTCATCTGTAATCACCGACAAGGAAAAAATACATCAGATATTTGCATCAATGGTAGTAGTACTAGTTTCGGCTCAAAGGGCAAGAATTGTATTTACCGTGTGGCCCAGGGCTAGCACGCCGTAGGCTGCACTAGTTGCGAGCAGGAGTGGGTGTGATTGCGAGGTTACCGATGCCATTGTTGCGATTGACAATATACAATTGCTGGTCTTGGGTGTTCGAGCTGGGGAGACAATGTGCTATCGAGATGCTGTGAGGTTTGGGGTTCCTGGCTTGTGATGGAGGGGGAAAAGTTGTGTTGCACAGTTGTGTCGACGTGATGATGAGATGCTTGGTTGCTGGCGCGAAGCCGAGGTTACCTAGCGTGGACTAGTACGTATGTACGCATGGTTCCCCCACTTTTCCCTCGTATTTCAGCTGTGCTGTGTGAGGTTCTAGAGACGTACTGGTATCTGTTCTGTAACGCAATGTAGTGTTTGATAAGTCTGTTTGGTTGACTTCCATAACGTACAGATGAATCAAAGTAAACAGGGCGTCATGCACCATTTCTCTCCTTGTTCAGCTCGTGCAAATCCATCATTCGCCGCTTCATCACCATGTGCTCAACATGCTGGTTCAAGCACTGCCCTACCCCTTGCGCTTGTCGGTTTCCTCTCCCGATGTTGTATCACATATCTCCTTTCCCTTTGGCCGAGAAGCATCGTCGCTAGTGTCGTGTGTGCTGCGTACGGTGTTTTGTGAGGGCGAAGGTGAGTGTGTAACCGTAGTCGGAACATTGTTTGGGGTATCCTGAGGCTGCAATTGACCAGTCAGACTAGCATTGTGCTTTGAGGAGGCGCTTATAGCATACCTGCTCTGTGCCAGATGAGCCTGTTGACGCTGGCTGTCTGTTTTCCTGGTCTACCAATGCCTTGGCAGCCTCCAATGCTTCTGGCCTCATTGTCTTGGATGCAAAAGCTTCGACTGCTTCAGATTTCATGTGCGGCAACGTAGACTATCCACACCGTACAGGTCTTGTGTGGGGTTTGCTTGAGGGAGTAGTTGGCTGCGTGGAATTCCGTTTTGTAGGTCACTTGCGTGGGCGTAGATAAAACTTTGGGGATTTGATGAAATGATGGTCTGTAGGGTAGTAGAAGAATCAGCAGTAACGGCAGCCTTTCTGTTGCTGCTTTGTCTGCGAGGCAGCGGCCAAAGTGCTCCTTCCTTTACCGCCAACATGGTGACGAGCTTGTTTGTGTAACACAAGCAGCGGCAACATGATGAGTAGTGCAAGTTTCTTGGATGGGAAAGAAGAAAAAGAAGAAGAAGAAAATCACTGAAGGAGGAGTCGGAGGTACAAATGTACTATGAGATGCAGTTTGGGTCTGTGGCTGCATCCATGTTGTAGGGATGGATGGACTTGCTCCTTGTGGACGGGAAAGATGGCAGGTCGTTCAGCCACAGCACCGATACAGCAAGGGATGTCCATAACCAGACAATGAGTCTGTGCTTGCAGTGTCATTTATTGCAGATTACGAGGGCAGATAGCCAAAAGCCATTTTTCTTGTTGGAGGGAGGCAACAATATCATAGGGCTTGTGTGGGTTTGCAGTCTCGGCACTGGATGTCAACAGTCATGTAGATTGCCCGTTGTTCGGGGGCTCTCCGCGACATGCACGATACTTGTCATGGGCTTACAGGGCACCGTGGCCAAAGTTTGCTAGTGCCGAAACGCTCGCTCTGATGCCGTGTTTCCTGGTAACAGGGCAGCGTCTGCCGCTACTCTAGGCAAGACAGTAATCATATCCATACTTTGGCATGACGTCGACGCGGTGGCCGTGAGCCGTACTCGACAGAGGCATTGTTGCCGGGGACATGCAAGTATGGGCTCCAGTCGATCGGATCATTGTCGGTCTTGTACATGTTGTTGCGTGACGCTACTCTACATGGCCGTCAGAGTCACCCACCGGCTATTCTCCACCAAGGCCCAAGGGCCATGAGCATCTGCTTGACCATGTCCAAGACGCAACCGTCCGCCCTCCGCTGCGGTCTTGTACACTGAGAAGATGGCGGTAGACATGGACTACACGAGTATCCAAGGCGTGCTCCACCAAGGGCCGCATTGCGGGAGGGTTCAAGCGCTCGATGCGCAGATCAGGATTGCTGACCCAGGGCGAGGCCTGTCCGGATCAAGGTCGCACATACCACCCGGTCATCTGAACTCTCGACTAGGCTATGCCAAAGGAAGCAACCCACTGCGTCTGGCCTCGGCGGCACTAAGCACCAGGTCGCCAGTGTTGCAGGTCCGGAGGTGGATGGCCAAGTCAGGTCGTAGATGGGACGGGTGCTCTACTTGGGTGCATCCCAGCCAGACGCCGTTTGACGGCTCTTACAGGCACAGGGCGGGCCCGAGGCGGCCATGGCAATATGAGGGGCGCTCCGATATGAGGAGGAGCTGCACCGAAGCCCAGGCGTGCCTATCAGACGGAGAGCAGAGCTTCGCGTCGAGTTCGAGTGGCTTGGGGGCAATATGGAAATGCTGTCGACCATGTCGGGGCCGGGCGTGAATGATCAGGAGACGCAGTTTATGCAGGTCCACACTGCCGCTGCTGGGTCGGGGTCGTGGTCGTGGTCATGGTCATGGTCATGGTCATGGCAGTCGGTGTTGGACCCTCTTTGCCAAGCCTGTAGCCCTCGCCCTCGTCTCGTCGTTGGCCGCCGTGCCCATGGAGCGGCCGGCTGGGTGCGTTGCGAGCACTGCTGGCGGGCTGCTGCTATCCCGGCCCTGGTGTTCGCTTGCTTCCCACCACTGCCACTCCCATCACCACCACCACTACCGCAACAGCTAATCAGCAAATCACTGTCAACGGCTCCGTGCTTCCTGCACCCTTCTCTGTAAGCAGCCGATTACCGCACACACCCACACCCACACCCACACCCCTCATGCCTGTCAACTGCGCCCGCTGTGGGGAGGCGACGATACACGCTGCCCTTTCGCTGACGACTCGCCATCCTGGTCTGGGAGGATCCTCTGCCGCCGCTGTTATTGATTGTCTGAGCCGAACGTGGAGTACTTGACGCCCCTTGTCATCCCCGCATTTGCGCCGCTCATCTCGCGAGCCATGTTTTGCACATGTGTAGAGCTAGACGGACGCGAGATTAGCTGTGGTTATAATCGCTGCTGGCCCGGCCCTCTCATGTCTTTTGCTACCTTGTTGCCGTCAGCCTACTCACCTACTGCCTACTACCACCACCACCACCACCACTACTACTACTACTACATGCCAAGTACACCCCTCCCCTTCCCTCCCCATCCTACCCATACCGCCTACCCGTCAAGCACGTAGTCTCGATATCGTGGCTGGACGCCCCAGCCCCAAAGTGTAGGACTACCCCCCGGCCATTGTCTACTCGTCCACCAATCATGGCCGCAATCACTCCTTCTCCAGAGATCAGCCCCGTGTCAGCGGCCACCACCAATGGAGGCTTTCCCCGTGACGCCTTCTGCCTCAATCTCTCCACTCTGCCAGACACCAATAACTTCGTGCTTAAATCCACTCTAAGATCTCCCCATCTCCTCGAGTCCCCCAATGGCTTGTTCTCGGGAAGTGGTAGTGTAAACAGTACCTTCAAGAAGCGACCCCGCAACATGTCACAATCCTCTGGTACCGACCGGGAAATGTCCAACGACACCACCCCGCCCGCACAGTCAAATGGTATCGCGCCCACCAGCAACGGCACCAACGGTGCCAGCACAGAGCCACGCCCAACAAACAAGAAGCGTCCAAGTACCGACACAATAGACTATCCGCGGCGGCGCGCAACCATTGCGGTACATCAGCCACTTTGCTTTCATCTTGTTCCACAACCTTCCTCTGGCCCAGAAACTGACATCAACTAGTGTGAGATATGTCGGTCACGCAAGTCGCGATGTGATGGAACCAGGCCAAAGTGCAGGCTTTGCACAGAGCTCAACGCAGAATGCATCTACCGCGAACCCGGCATCAAGCTTGACGCAGGCGACAAGCTGATTCTGGAACACTTGAACCGCATCGAAGGCCTGCTCCAATCCGGTCTTACCAGTAACTTCTCTCTCTCTTCCCACTCGCCCGCAGCCAGCAACTCGACCAGCGAAGATTTTCTCGCCCGCAGTAGCGGCAATATACCCCATCTCGGCATGGTTCAGCCGATCAACGGCATCGGCACATGGACCAACCATCCTTCAAATATCTCGACCATGCCAAAGACCCATAATACTGCCGCGCTTAATCTGCTGTCGTCACCAATGATCCGCGAGCTCGTTTCTCGCCAGTATGACGCCAAGATCCTTCTCCAGCTCGAGATGACTAGGGAATCCGTAAGCCTCGGAGCCAGTCGCGGGCTAGATCTCTCCAATACAGGCGCATATGTTCAAGCGTATTTCGAGAGAGTCAACGTCTTCTACGCCGTTGTCAACCCCTACACCTGGAGTGCCCACTATCAGACTGCCCTCAGCCATGGATTCCGGGATGGCCCTGAAAGCTGCATAGTGCTCCTGGTGCTTGCGCTTGGTCATGCTGCAAGCACAGGCAGCATCACACAGCAGAATCCGGAGAAGGATCCTCCGGGCTTGGCGTACTTTGCTGCAGCCTGGAGCTTGCTGCCCACCGTAATGACAAGGAACAACATGGTTGCTGCACAATGTCAGATCCTAGCCGCAGCGTACTTGGTATACCTTGTGCGTCCCGTCGAGGCCTGGAACGTATTGTCGGGCGCGAGCATGAAGCTTCAACTCCTGTTGAGCGCGCCTGGTCGCGTGTCTCCTGCCGAAGAGGAGCTGGGCAAGAGAGTGTATTGGAATGCAGTCATGATTGAGAGTGATCTGTTGGCAGAGCTTGATCTTCCTCACTCTGGTATAGCACAGTTTGAAGAAGGATTCTCACTTCCAACTGGCTTTGAAGACCTGGGAACCGATGCTGTTGGTCGCGATGAGCTCTGGTATTTCCTCGCCGAGATTGCTCTCCGGAGACTACTCAACCGCGTAAGCTCTATGCTCTACATCCGAACGACGCCATACTCGAAAGGCCCAGCTGCTACCTCGATTGCGCAACTAGACCCGCTGGTCGTGGAGCTAGATTACCAATTGAACCAGTGGTATGCTGGATTACCGCCAGCCATGCAGTTCCCGCTCGACAGAGTGCCACTGCAGAACCCCGTCCAGACCGTACTGAGACTACGCTACTTTGCATGCCGCACAATCATCTTCCGACCCTATGTGCTTCTTGTGTTACAAGACGAATCTCTTGCCATGGACTCCAGTGTGCAGGATAATTGCCACAAGTGCCTTGAAGCATGCGTTCGTCAATTGGAATACATTACTGCACACCATGCTGGACATCTGCCTTATTTGTTCCAAGGCGCTCTTTCGTGAGTTCACCATCCAAGCCATTCGTGCATAAGCTAACCATGCTCTAGTATCATCTCGCAAACACTGCTCATCATGGGTGCAACTATGACACCTTCTTTATCGCAGCTTCTTCCGCCACCTGCAACAATGGACGATATCATAAACAACGTTGTTCTAGAGATGGAGCGCTACGCGCATCTTGCGCCCAGTCTTCGTCTCTCTGCTGAGATTATACGTGAAGCCGAGGGAAAGCGACAGATGTGGCTACGAACAGCAGGACTCAAATTTGAAGTTTGAGGGACTTGAATCATGGTAGTTGCCAGGCATTATGCAAGGCACCATCTGGCGCCTTGTGACTACCGGGCAGAACGGCTCCTACAGGACTAGGGGCAATGTCCATTATCGACTCCGCTGCAAGATTTGCCTTCCATTTTTGGTGAGCTCCGCGCACATATGCATTAGGAAGTCCTCACTACACGCGACGTTGACTATCATATACGAGACAAGAGCGGGGTAGTCGGACCAACCCAGTTCTGAGGTCAAGCACAGACCTGCACACCCGGCGTCCTATGTCGGTACCTACATACCCTATCACTTACCTATTGTATGTATGTGCTCCGCACAGACGACGATCAGCCTTGGAATCTTTGCAACATCCTAAGCTTTGCCTTTTACAGCTGTCATGATTGGTGAGTCCAGTCGTGGCGTGGCATCTGGGGGCGACTTTGCAAGGCGAACCCAATATTGCAAGCACGATGAAAGTGCTTGGCAGAAGACAACCAGCCAAGGAAAAGGATGCATGCTCCGGAAGAGCCGCATCCTAATGGAGAAGGTTACCCAATTGCCTATACCCCCCATGGCAGAGAAAGACCGGATAATCAGCGAATAAATAAAAGTGATGAATTGAAAGGACGTTCTGTGGAGACTGGAATGTATACTAGCCATACGAACCCGGCCCCGCCACGGGACGTTGGCCTGAGCCGCTGGCCATTGCCAGTTCTAGGATGATGGGCGTGAAAGAAGATTTCTTATGGTGGACCAGCACAAAGCTTTGCCAATTAGAAACAATGCCCATGCCCCATGTCAACCTTTTGCATCCAGCTCTGACCATGTTCCCGGCAGTGATTGTGACGTGCCTTTGTACATACATACATACATACTACTCGACTTACCTAGCTCTGCCCTCGTGCATAACACCCTAACACGGTAACACATACATGGCGTACGCGCGCGCGCACACACACACGGCACAATTCTGAACACCCACACATATCCATACCCACACGCACAAAACAGTGACTAACGCAAGTCCCCCGCACAAGTGTAATCTATATCATGCAGCACGGTACCGGGGTACCCAACCCCCTGCACACCCAACACCTTGTGAGCTTAAACGCCTTTACCCGCACGCCTAGCTTTCGGGCCTTCTGGAAAATGGGTGGAAAGTTCTTTGAAACCTTCGAGAAACCGGTCTCTAAACAGTAAGATGATGCTGAGCAGGGGTGAGGAGGGTGTGTAGGAGGGGGTCGCGTGGTAGGTGAGAGGGGAGCTGTCGTCAGCTCTTCATCTGAGATATTAGTACCGTCACTATTGGCTCATAGTCTTTAGCTGATAGGCACCGGGGCTTAGCCGAACTAACGCTGCGCAGCCTTCACCGATGGCCTTCTATGGATGAACCTATGTATGTACAACCCGCCAGTACATTTTTGTGCAAATCCATAACTATCGTGTCCACACAATGCCCATCAGCAGGAGGCGAAACAGCCACAAGCAAAACAGATCGTCGCAAAATCATATTGTACTTGTTCACGTGCCGAGGCATCCGCAGTAGCAATCATCGCTTAATGCCGTATGGATAGTATGCCACTAGGATCCGGAGCTTAAGCTAGTCAAACCCCAGGTATTTTGAAGACCGGCTTCTGCAACCCACGGGATATGACGATGTCAAACTCTAACCCGTATCTGCTGAAGAGGTCATGCCTGGTGCTTGAGTGCCTGCGTTACCATTGGTGATGTTCGGATTAAGACGACGCCACAGTCGGGTAGACGGGAGCTCGTGCCGCCACCACTACCACTACCAAATACTTGAAGTCTTGTGAGAAGAACATCTTCAAGACATGGCGCTGTGTCTCCTCATACCATTATGGTGCTGCGGTCTGGTGGCACACGACTGGATGTCATTGCAGACCCGATTAGGTGGATGTGGGTCGTGGAGAAGTTCCAGAAGCAGCATAGAATGCCCCTAGCCGTAAAGTATAAATTTCACCGACGATGTACAATCGCCATCGAGCGCTCGGGCTGCGTTTTCAGCCCGTTCCTAGCCAAGCAAATCCCTCTTACAGAACACAATCGTGTCAGCCCAATACGCTCTCGCCTATCCATCTGCTCGCCATCTATCCACGCGTCATGATAAAATTTGTTTCAAGATTGTTGGATCCTTCATCGTTGTCATCTTGCGTTCGTACGAATAAGATTTTCTCAATCTCCGATCTTCCCTCGGGCTATATACGGCCTCCAGGTGACTTATGAGTTCATCACATCTAGACCAGTTCGTATTGCTAGGTACGCAACTATACCCTGTCCTTAAGTTTGGAGTATTATCGTCCAGAATCATCCGTAATATTAAGAGTTTCTCAACATTCCGCCTCTTTAAGGGGTTCATTGACAATGTAGTATAATGAGCTACAAACGACTCATCACGTGAGCTTGACCGTATCTGCCGGCAAAGTAAATGCCGGCCGCACCTTGCTCGTAGCGTGTTATCTGAAACACACGCATACACTTTGACAATTACTTTGTTCCCTTTCCAACTATACCGAAAATGGCCCTGAGAGAATACTTATAATCGTCCGGTGATCTATTGGCTAGGTTGATTTCTAAAACGAAAGCGGATGGATAGGCACCAGTTGGGTTCTCGGGTTGCCCAAGGTAGTTAGTAACATAGTAACAAATCATGAAGTCGCGAAACATGAGTTCTACGAGAGATGTCATCAATCACATGAAAGTTGATTCAAGTGGAAGAAAGTCACCAAACGCTACCGAAAGCGCAGAGATGCTACTTGCCGAAAACATTTTGACTTGAAGATAAGGTGATTGGTGCATACTTGACCCTACCCGGCTCGTGCGTTAGCGTAGCCGGACCCACTAAAATTTCTTTGCAACTTGGGTGTCTGCGCGCGACAAAACACAACCACGACTGCATCTCCAACATCATGGCTGTCGACAACTCGCTCGAGTCGCTCCTCGCGACCCTCACGACATCTATTCAATCTGCTACCGAAGCGCTGCCCAATGATGATATCGTGCCTCCAAAGGAAGGAATCTCCCTGCTGGACGTAAAGAACGAGCTGCTTCTGAGCTACCTGCAAAACCTAGTTTTCCTTATTCTCCTAAAACTGAGGTCACGGAAAAGCAACCAGAAAGAGGCAGATCTGCACCCTCAGGATGAAGTCGTTCAAAAGCTTGTTGAACTAAGGATCTACCTGGAAAAGGGCGTTCGCCCCCTCGAAAGCCGTCTGAAATACCAAATCGACAAGATTTTGAGGACAGCAGATGATGCCACTCGTCGCACTACCCAGGCTCCTACAAGTTTGGCTTCAAGACCCAAGAAGATAAAGACAGACACGGGATCCGATTCAGATGTGAGCGATGCCGAATCAGCTGGGTCCGCACAGACGGAAGAAGACGAAGACGAAATGGCATACGGCCCCCGACGTGCCCAAGTTACACGCCAAAAGACGGAAGCCAGTCAGGAACGCGCTCGTGAATCTGCAAAAGACGGCATCTACAGGCCCCCCAAGATTACACCCATGGCCATGCCGACTCCAGAAGGTCGCGAAGCGCGACGAGAGCGCCATCCAGGAAAATCAGCTACTCTGGATGAATTCATCGCCACTGAGCTCTCCACTGCTCCCATCGCTGAGCCCAGTATTGGTTCTACCATTACACAGGGCGGCCGGCACACCAAATCCGAGCGTGAGCGCCGCGAAGAGAATGAACGACGCGAATATGAAGAAGCAAACTTTACTCGCTTGGCTCCAGAGAGCAAAAAGGAGGCTGCTAGGAAAAAGGCCCGGCAGCAGCGCGATGGTGGTTTCGGAGGCGAGGAATGGAGAAGTTTGGGCGCGGGCATTGACCGCATTGAACGACTTACGCAGAAGAAGGGCGGTAATTTGGGAAGCTTGGAGAGGAGTAGGAAGAGGCCTGTTGGCGATGGTCCAAGAGGTTCGGGATCCGCTGCCGGAGACGCGTTTGAGAAGAGGAGGAAGATTGTTGGAAGATATAGGTAAGACTACAGGGGGTTACTTGAAAATCAAGACGAAGAATTGCCCATCTTGTAATATTTCAACCAAACGATACTTGCCAATCTGCGTCACACATGACTTTGAACTTGCAAACTACATATCCACCCGATTCTGAGAAGCCGTGTTCACAGTCGATAAGAGATGGAGCAGAGTTCAAAACAGAAGAAACCTTGATCAACGAGCCGAGAATCATATGATTTCATGATTAATAACTACTTAATGCTTCTCGTCTCGTAAAGAGTATCCACAGATAGTCTGCTGATAATGTTCATCATCATCATGCCTTTGACGCCTATGCTATGCGTTCTGCAATGCTGATCCTTCCCAGTGCCAAATCGATGCTCGCCCTAAACATAAAACTCCATGAAAGGCAAATAAAAACCCAATGCGGCTAGGCGAAGTTCTTACGCCAAATACCTATACGAGTCAACCTGTGCGCCCTCTATGCGCTCAAGGTATTCACGTTCAATAAGCGACTCGATACGCTTCTTGACCATGTTGACCTCAGGTTTGAACTGCCCAACCAGTTGGCTGAGCGTCTCTGACATGAGTTGTTGATGCGATAGCTCTTTGCGTTGCCTAAGGAAGCTGGTTAGCATGCGACACAGTACATGGTACAACAAATTACGTACTTCATGATTCGCACAACAGCAGCCTCGATACAGAAGCCTCGCGAATCGTCGTTCTTCTTTTCTGTTTCTCGCCGCTCGCGATCACTCTCAACCTTGTTTCCTCCACTAACGACGCCAACTTTGATCTTGACAAACTTGCCTTGGAAGCCTTCGTTGAAGAAGAAGCGATCGGTAGGCTTCACGTCCTTGGACATGGGCTCTTTTACTAGAATACGCGTCTTTGGCGCTACAGCAAGCGACTGAAGGTTTCTGATCAAGTCACTAGGTGGTATGTTGGTCCGCGCCTGGATCTCCTCAAAAGTGATGTGTTGATTTGGAGCGAGATCGTTGAATAAAAGCAGGATAACCATGCCGTATGTTGACACGTTAAGCTCGTGACGACGCTCCTTGAACGAGCCGTCCTTTTGCGGTACTTTGGGGAAAACAGCCTTGATGTCTGCCGAACCCATGTTGGCTAGCCAGGTAAGTTGTCGGCCAGAGTGCTTCTGGCTATAGAACTTCTCAAATCCACGCCTGAGCTTATCAATAACGGCAGGGTAATTGCACCGTGGCCGCTGATCTTCTTCGTCGGCAGCTGCGCCACCCATTGTCTCAAGAGGCCATGTCATGCTTGTAAGCACGTTGATGGATAGCTCGATTCGCTTTGGGTCCTTATCGCCCAATCCTTCAACATGTTTCTTGAAGCCAGCGGTTAGCTCTTCGGAAATGGTCATGTCCTTGAACATGGCCTCTAGCTTCAGCGTAAAGTTGTTGCCGAGCTCAATCTTCATCTTTGAAATCATCTGCTTTTCGACTTCGTTGCTGATCGACTTGTTCATCAACAATCGTCGGCATAGATGCTTCTTGTAGTAGCGCTCGAAGAGATCCTTGTCTTGAACATATCGCAGTAGTATAATGGCCTTTTCTAAAACCGCGTCGATCTCAGACTCGGTCTTGCCCTTGATACCCTTTTTCATATTCTCGTCGATGAAGAGAGAGATGTACTCTGATGAGCGTGGGAAGGTTGGAGAGTTGATGAAGTCAGTGAAACTCTGCGTTTGCGCCTGCTGTAACAATGGATCGGACTCAAAAGACTCTCGCCAGATTTTGTCAAACCTGTCTTTGAGTGCAAGGACATCCTCAACCCACTTGATCGCAGCAACTGTCTGCTGGTTCAGACTCTTTTCTTGTACAGGGCCCTTGGCCTTGTCAGCAGGATCGGCGACGGGCACAACAGCAGGCGCCTGCGACGCGGCGATTGCATCCTTGTTGATATCCGAACCCATATCCACGATGCGCTGCTGAATGGCGCGAGTGATTTCCATCTTCTTGTCATCTACACGCCTGTTCAGATCGTAGATGAGATTTAGCTCTTCAAGCCTATGATTGTCAATCATGAAGCGCACGCCACTCTCCATTTCGACAAGCTCGTGTATGCGGTTTTTGATCAACTCGTCCTCCACTACCTTCTGAATCTTGGGTCCAGTGCTCTCTAGCAATGTCTGCTTGCAGCGCTCGTCTTCCTCGTAAATTCTTCGTCGCGCATGTTTGCAATATGCACCCGCATGGCAGTCGCGTAGCAACAATTCGGATTCGCCCCGGTAAAAAGTGCTGCTTGTCTCTAAGTACTCCTTCTCGAATGAAGTGTTGTATAATCGGTGTTCTTCGGATTCTATGTCAGCCTCATGCAAGCCTTCCAACATCCATACACAGGATTTGATAAGTTGCTTGTCAATGACGTCGCCATCGCGTTCCATCTGGATCTGGTCGAGGATGATGTAACTTAGCAGGCTGAGAATAGTGCGAGCGTCGGATGGAGATACTGGCGAATTTAGAATCTCGTCGCGAAACAGAACCATGGCAGCGTTGTAGATAGAGGGTCGGCGGTGGTCGGCACAATAGACACGATCCTTTATCACATATGTTAGCTTGTGTTGACTCTTTGTATGTTATGAAGAGGTTCCAGCCTCACCATATACATGAGCACGTCTGCCAGCATGCTTGTGCAGATTTGGTGGTCACTCCATGCCTGCCGCAGTCCCTTTAGAAACTTTTCGCCAGCGACGCGTCGCTCGTTGGGCGTGGTTCCGCCTATACTCTGCGGATTTACGAGGAGGTTTGGGGATATTAGTTGCTGGATAGTGCTGCGGACCTCGGTGCTGAGCCAGTTGCTTTCGAATTCGTGGACCTTATTGTATAGATTTTCGCCCTTCTTCTTGAGGACGATACGGTAGGCGTGGCGGTACAACTCCTCGTATGACAGCTTAGATGCATTTTTTGTATGTATTTCGCGAAAGGCCGCCTCGATGGTGCCCCATGTGTTCTCGAAATCAATCTCATCGCCATGTAGACCCTATGAGCGTGACATGATCAGTGTGGGACGGCAAGGGTGAATGCACAAAACTTACCCTTCGTGGGGGCCTTATCCGCTGCCTGCCCCGTCCTGCAATCATGTTTGGTAGTGTCTCGAGGGTAGAGTGGAATGTTCAAAAGCACAAGATCTTGGTGCGGTTGAGAGCGGAGCAAGGTCGATGGTGGCTGCAAGGCTTGGTGTGGCGGGAGAGGTCGGAGAACAAGGGCGCGTATGTTTAGCAGAGCACCAGCATGCTCGTGC